CCTATGGGTGTCTCTATGGGTCTGGGTGTCTGTGGGTCTCTGTGTGCCCCTATGGGTGTCTCTATGGGTCTGGGTGTCTGTGGGTCTCTGTGTGTTCCTATGGATGTCTCTATGGGTCTGGGTGTCTGTGGGTCTCTGTGTGTTCCTATGGGTGTCTCTATGGGTCTGGGTGTCTGTGGGTCTCTGTGTGTTCCTATGGGTGTCTCTATGAGTCTGGGTGTCTGTGGGTCTCTGTGTATTCCTATGGGTATCTCTATGGGTCGGGTGTCTGTGGGTCTCTGTGTGTTCCTATGGGTGTCTCTATGGGTCTGGGTGTCTGTGGGTCTCTGTGTGTTCCTATGGGTATCTCTATGGGTCTGGGTGTCTGTGGGTCTCTGTGTGTTCCTATGGGTGTCTCTATGAGTCTGGGTGTCTGTGGGTCTCTGTGTGTTCCTATGGGTATCTCTATGGGTCTGGGTGTCTGTGGGTCTCTGTGTGTTCATATGGGTGTCTCTATGGGTCTGGGTGTCTGTGGGTCTCTGTGTGTTCCTATGGGTGTCTCTATGGGTCTGGGTGTCTGTGGGTCTCTGTGTGTTCCTATGGGTGTCTCTATGGCTCTGGGTGTCTGTGGGTCTCTGTGTGTTCCTATGGGTGTCTCTATGAGTCTGGGTGTCTGTGGGTCTCTGTGTGTTCCTATGGATGTCTCTATGGGTCTGGGTGTCTGTGGGTCTCTGTGTGTTCCTATGGGTGTCTCTATGGGTCTGGGTGTCTGTGGGTCTCTGTGTGTTCCTATGGGTGTCTCTATGAGTCTGGGTGTCTGTGGGTCTCTGTGTGTTCCTATGGGTATCTCTATGGGTCGGGTGTCTGTGGGTCTCTGTGTGTTCCTATGGGTGTCTCTATGGGTCTGGGTGTCTGTGGGTCTCTGTGTGTTCCTATGGGTGTCTCTATGAGTCTGGGTGTCTGTGGGTCTCTGTGTATTCCTACGGGTATCTCTATGGGTCGGGTGTCTGTGGGTCTCTGTGTGTTCCTATGGGTGTCTCTATGGGTCTGGGTGTCTGTGGGTCTCTGTGTGTTCCTATGGGTGTCTCTATGGGTCTGGGTGTCTGTGGGTCTCTGTGTGTTCCTATGGGTATCTCTATGGGTCTGGGTGTCTGTGGGTCTCTGTGTGTTCCTATGGGTGTCTCTATGAGTCTGGGTGTCTGTGGGTCTCTGTGTGTTCCTATGGGTATCTCTATGGGTCTGGGTGTCTGTGGGTCTCTGTGTGTTCCTATGGGTGTCTCTATGGGTCTGGGTGTCTGTGGGTCTCTGTGTGCCCCTATGGGTGTCTCTATGGCTCTGGGTGTCTGTGGGTCTCTGTGTGTTCCTATGGGTGTCTCTATGGGTCTGGGTGTCAATGGGTCTCTGTGTGTTCCTATGGGTGTCTCTATGGGTCTGGGTGTCTGTGGGTCTCTGTGTGTCCCTATGGGTGTCTCTATGGCTCTGGGTGTCTGTGGGTCTCTGTGTGTTCCTATGGGTGTCTCTATGGGTCTGGGTGTCAATGGGTCTCTGTGTGTTCCTATGGGTGTCTCTATGGGTCTGGGTGTCAATGGGTCTCTGTGTGTTCCTATGGGTGTCTCTATGGGTCTGGGTGTCTGTGGGTCTCTGTGTGTCCCTATGGGTGTCTCTATGGCTCTGGGTGTCTGTGGGTCTCTGTGTGTTCCTATGGGTGTCTCTATGGGTCTGGGTGTCTGTGGGTCTCTGTGTGTCCTATGGGTGTCTCTATGGGTCTGGGTGTCTGTGGGTCTCTGTGTGCCCCTATGGGTGTCTCTATGGGTCTGGGTGTCTGTGGGTCTCTGTGTGTTCCTATGGATGTCTCTATGGGTCTGGGTGTCTGTGGGTCTCTGTGTGTTCCTATGGGTGTCTCTATGGGTCTGGGTGTCTGTGGGTCTCTGTGTGTTCCTATGGGTGTCTCTATGAGTCTGGGTGTCTGTGGGTCTCTGTGTATTCCTATGGGTATCTCTATGGGTCGGGTGTCTGTGGGTCTCTGTGTGTTCCTATGGGTGTCTCTATGGGTCTGGGTGTCTGTGGGTCTCTGTGTGTTCCTATGGGTATCTCTATGGGTCTGGGTGTCTGTGGGTCTCTGTGTGTTCCTATGGGTGTCTCTATGAGTCTGGGTGTCTGTGGGTCTCTGTGTGTTCCTATGGGTATCTCTATGGGTCTGGGTGTCTGTGGGTCTCTGTGTGTTCATATGGGTGTCTCTATGGGTCTGGGTGTCTGTGGGTCTCTGTGTGTTCCTATGGGTGTCTCTATGGGTCTGGGTGTCTGTGGGTCTCTGTGTGTTCCTATGGGTGTCTCTATGGCTCTGGGTGTCTGTGGGTCTCTGTGTGTTCCTATGGGTGTCTCTATGAGTCTGGGTGTCTGTGGGTCTCTGTGTGTTCCTATGGATGTCTCTATGGGTCTGGGTGTCTGTGGGTCTCTGTGTGTTCCTATGGGTGTCTCTATGGGTCTGGGTGTCTGTGGGTCTCTGTGTGTTCCTATGGGTGTCTCTATGAGTCTGGGTGTCTGTGGGTCTCTGTGTATTCCTATGGGTATCTCTATGGGTCGGGTGTCTGTGGGTCTCTGTGTGTTCCTATGGGTGTCTCTATGGGTCTGGGTGTCTGTGGGTCTCTGTGTGTTCCTATGGGTGTCTCTATGAGTCTGGGTGTCTGTGGGTCTCTGTGTATTCCTATGGGTATCTCTATGGGTCGGGTGTCTGTGGGTCTCTGTGTGTTCCTATGGGTGTCTCTATGGGTCTGGGTGTCTGTGGGTCTCTGTGTGTTCCTATGGGTGTCTCTATGGGTCTGGGTGTCTGTGGATCTCTGTGTGTTCCTATGGGTATCTCTATGGGTCTGGGTGTCTGTGGGTCTCTGTGTGTTCCTATGGGTGTCTCTATGAGTCTGGGTGTCTGTGGGTCTCTGTGTGTTCCTATGGGTATCTCTATGGGTCTGGGTGTCTGTGGGTCTCTGTGTGTTCCTATGGGTGTCTCTATGGGTCTGGGTGTCTGTGGGTCTCTGTGTGTTCCTATGGGTGTCTCTATGGGTCTGGGTGTCTGTGGGTCTCTGTGTGTTCCTATGGGTGTCTCTATGGGTCTGGGTGTCTGTGGGTCTCTGTGTGTTCCTATGGGTGTCTCTATGAGTCTGGGTGTCTGTGGGTCTCTGTGTGTTCCTATGGGTGTCTCTATGGGTCTGGGTGTCTGTGGGTCTCTGTGTGTTCCTATGGGTGTCTCTATGGCTCTGGGTGTCTGTGGGTCTCTGTGTGTTCCTATGGGTGTCTCTATGAGTCTGGGTGTCAATGGGTCTCTGTGTGTTCCTATGGGTGTCTCTATGGCTCTGGGTGTCTGTGGGTCTCTGTGTGTTCCTATGGGTGTCTCTATGGGTCTGGGTGTCTGTGGGTCTCTGTGTGTTCCTATGGGTGTCTCTATGAGTCTGGGTGTCAATGGGTCTCTGTGTGTTCCTATGGGTGTCTCTATGGGTCTGGGTGTCTGTGGGTCTCTGTGTGTTCCTATGGGTGTCTCTATGGGTCTGGGTGTCTGTGGGTCTCTGTGTGTTCCTATGGGTGTCTCTATGAGTCTGGGTGTCAATGGGTCTCTGTGTGTTCCTATGGGTGTCTCTATGGGTCTGGGTGTCTGTGGGTCTCTGTGTGTTACTATGGGTGTCTCTATGGGTCTGGGTGTCTGTGGGTCTCTGTGTGTCCCTATGGGTATCTCTATGGGTCTGGGTGTCTGTGGGTCTCTGTGTGTTCCTATGGGTGTCTCTATGGGTCTGGGTGTCTGTGGGTCTCTGTGTGTTCCTATGGGTGTCTCTATGGGTCTGGGTGTCTGTGGGTCTGTGTGTGTTCCTATGGGTGTCTGTGGGTCTCTGTGTGTTCCTATGGGTGTCTCTATGGCTCTGGGTGTCTGTGGGTCTCTGTGTGTTCCTATGGGTGTCTCTATGAGTCTGGGTGTCAATGGGTCTCTGTGTGTTCCTATGGGTGTCTCTATGGGTCTGGGTGTCTGTGGGTCTGTGTGTGTTCCTATGGGTGTCTCTATGGGTCTGGGTGTCTGTGGGTCTCTGTGTGTTCCTATGGGTGTCTCTATGAGTCTGGGTGTCTGTGGGTCTCTGTGTGTTCCTATGGGTGTCTCTATGGCTCTGGGTGTCTGTGGGTCTCTGTGTGTTCCTATGGGTGTCTCTATGAGTCTGGGTGTCAATGGGTCTCTGTGTGTTCCTATGGGTGTCTCTATGGCTCTGGGTGTCTGTGGGTCTCTGTGTGTTCCTATGGGTGTCTCTATGGGTCTGGGTGTCAATGGGTCTCTGTGTGTTCCTATGGGTGTCTCTATGGGTCTGGGTGTCTGTGGGTCTCTGTGTGTCCCTATGGGTGTCTCTATGAGTCTGGGTGTCTGTGGGTCTGTGTGTGTTCCTATGGGTGTCTCTATGAGTCTGGGTGTCAATGGGTCTCTGTGTGTTCCTATGGGTGTCTCTATGGGTCTGGGTGTCTGTGGGTCTCTGTGTGTTCCTATGGGTGTCTCTATGGCTCTGGGTGTCTGTGGGTCTCTGTGTGTTCCTATGGGTGTCTCTATGGGTCTGGGTGTCAATGGGTCTCTGTGTGTTCCTATGGGTGTCTCTATGGGTCTGGGTGTCAATGGGTCTCTGTGTGTTCCTATGGGTGTCTCTATGGGTCTGGGTGTCTGTGGGTCTCTGTGTGTCCCTATGGGTGTCTCTATGGCTCTGGGTGTCTGTGGGTCTCTGTGTGTCCCTATGGGTGTCTCTATGAGTCTGGGTGTCAATGGGTCTCTGTGTGTTCCTTATGGGTGTCTCTATGGGTCTGGGTGTCTGTGGGTCTCTGTGTGTATGTACGTACGTTGAACTTTTTCATTCACCGTTACGTAGCCAACCGTGCTATCATTTCACCGCGTTAAATGTTACTTAGCCCGCGTTAAATGTTACTTAGCCCGCGTTAAACAACAAAAGCAATAACAACAACAACAACTCGTTTGTCTCCGATCTCCGAGCGACATTCAAACTTACCGCGATGGACATGGCCACAGGACACAGACCACCAACCCCCCACTCCCCGCAGGTCGCTTCGCGGCTTTTAAAAATAGGGCCCGAGTCTGAACCGTCGGTCGAACCAGGCGGCACAGCAACAGACGCCGGGAAGCTGTGTGCGTGTGTGTGAAACTGTGTGTGTGTGTGAAACTGTGTGTGTGTGTGTGAAACTGTGTGTGTGTGTGAAACTGTGTGTGTGTGTGAAACTGTGTGTGTGTGAAACTGTGTGTGTGTGTGTAACTGCGAGTGTGTGTGTGAAACTGTGCACGCGTGTGTGTGTGTGAAACTGTGTGTGTGAAACTGTGTGTGTGAAACTGCACGTGCGTGTGTGTGTGAAACTGTGTGTGTGAAACTGCACGTGCGTGTGTGTGTGAAACTGTGTGTGTGAAACTGCACGTGCGTGTGTGTGTGAAACTGTGTGTGTGTGAAACTGTGTGTGTGAAACTGTGTTTGTGTGTGAAACTGTGTGTGTGTGAAACTGTGTGTGAAACTGTGTGTGAAACTGCACGTGTGTGTGTGTGAAACTGTGTGTGTGTGTGAAACTGTGTGTGTGAAACTGTGCGTGTGTGTGTGTGAAACTGTGTGTGTGTGAAACTGCGTGTGTGAAACTGTTTGTGTGTGAAACTGTGTTTGTGTGTGAAACTGTGTGTGTGAAACTGTGTTTCTGTGTGAAACTGCGTGAAACTGTGTGTGTGTGTGAAACTGTGTGTGAAACTGCACGTGTGTGTGAAACTGTGTGTGTGTGTGAAACTGCGTGTGTGAAACTGTTTGTGTGTGAAACTGTTTGTGTGTGAAACTGCGTGTGTGAAACTGTTTGTGTTTGAAACTGTGTTTGTGTGTGAAACTGTGTTTGCGTGTGAAACTGTTTGTGTGTGAAACTGTGTTTGTGTGTGAAACTGTGTGTGTGAAACTGCGCGTGTGAAACTGTTTGTGTGTGAAACTGTGTGTGAAACTGCGTGCGCGTGTGTAAAACTGCGTGCGCGCGGGTGTGAAACTAACTAAAACACCGAGAGAGACACACACAGAGAGAGAGCGAGACAACTAATAATAATTGTTGGCGAGTGGCTCCCTCTCAAGGGCTCCTCGTTTCACCCGGCGGCGCGTGAAGACGCGCGTTGACGCGCCTCTTCACGAGCCAAAAATGAGACGAAAAAAAGAGGCGAAGAGTATCGAGTGCCTCTTGCGCGTGGCGCTTTTAAAAGCGCGTCTCGCTCCCTCTCTCTCTCTCTGTGTGTGTGCTGTGCGCTGCGTTGGGAAACACGTAGCAGCGCGGTGGGGGGAGGAGGGTGGAGCTTGAAGAATGCCGAGTGCTCGACACCCCTGGGGGTAGGGGGGGCAGGCGTTGTCACCTCGACTTAGAAACACGTGGGGGGCAGTTGGCAGGGAAGACGTTTGTGGGAGGTGGATAGGCAGGTGGGTGGTAGGGGTGGGTGGTGGCGTGTGCGCTCGAGTGTCATCATAACCTCCAGTCGCGTGGGGAGGAAGTGCATGTAAAGGGTATGAATTTGTTTAGCTCGGTGTTGTGTAGAACGAAAAAAATGATGATGATGATGATAATAATGCAAGGGTAGCCGATTTGTCAAGGCCGGTTGAACTGCTTCGTCGGATTGTGCGCGTTTGTTACGGGGGGGAGGGGGGGGTGATCATTGGCTTATGTGTTGGGGGAGCGGTGGTGCCGTGGTCAGCGCTACGCTGCGCTACGAACCCGGCGTCCCGAGTTCGATTCCCGCCCGCGACCAACACCGGCGACGATCACCTGAACCGGTCCTGGGCCTCCCCTAGGTCGACTCAGCCTTAAAATGAGTAGCTGGTGGGGTGCGTAAAAAAACATCGTCATTGGGGAGACAAAGGCGGTCGGGCGTGGTGCTGGCCACCCACCCCCTCGTGTGCCGTTCCGGCCTTCATAGGTGCTGCTCGTTAACAGCACTTGCTCCAATAGTCTGTTACAGGCTACACGGGGGGGGAGGGGGATCTTTGTCTTTGTGTTGAACTTATTTGGCACCGTACGTAGCCAACCGCGCTATTCGGAGGGTGCTGCGGGGATTGGGGCTGGGGGGATGACAACAAAATCAACACAAACTAAACACAAACTCAACACAAACTCAACACAAACTCGACACAAACTCAACACAAACTCGACACAAATTCAACACAAACTCAACAGAAACTCAACACAAACTAAACACAAACTCAACACAAACTCAACACAAACTCGACACAAACTCAACACAAACTCGACACAAATTCAACACAAACTCAACAGAAACTCAACACAAACTCGACACAAAATTCAACACAAACTCGACACAAATTCAACACAAACTCAACACAAACTCAACACAAACTCAACACAAACTCGACACAAATTCAACACAAACTAAACGCAAACTCAACAGAAACTATACACAAACTCAACACAAACTAAACACAAACTCGACACAAATTCAACACAAACTAAACACAAACTCGACACAAATTCAACACAAACTCAACAGAAACTCAACGCAAACTAAACACAAACTCAACACAAACTAAACGCAAACTCAACAGAAACTATACACAAACTCAACACAAACTAAACACAAACTCGACACAAATTCAACACAAACTCAACAAAAACTCAACACAAACTCAACACAAACTCGACACAAACTAATCACAAACTAAACACAAACTAAACACAAAACAAACTAAAAACAAACTCAACACAAACTCAACACAAACTCGACACAAACTAAACACAAACTCAACACAAACTCGACACAAATTCAACACAAACTAAACACAAACTCAACACAAACTAAACACAAACACGACACAAATTCAACACAAACTCAACAGAAACTCAACACAAACTCGACACAAATTCAACACAAACTAAACGCAAACTCAACAGAAACTATACACAAACTCAACACAAACTAAACACAAACTCGACACAAATCCAACACAAACTCAACAGAAACTCAACACAAACTAAACACAAACTTAACACAAACTAAACACAAATTCAACACAAACTAAACACAAACAAAACACAAACTCAACACAAACTAAATATAAACTCGACACAAACTAAACACAAACTCAACACAAACTCAACACAAACTCGACACAAACTAAACACAAACTCGACACAAACTAAACACAAACTCGACACAAACTCAACACAAACTAAACACAAATTAAACACAAACTCAACACAAACTAAATATAAACTCGACACAAACTAAACACAAACTCAACACAAACTCAACACAAACTCGACACAAACTAAACACAAACTCGACACAAACTAAACACAAACTCGACACAAACTCAACACAAACTAAACACAAATTAAACACAAACTCAACACAAACTCGATACAAATTAATCACAAACTAAACACAAACTCAACACAAACTCAACACAAACTCGACACAAACTAAACACAAACTCAACACAAATTCAACACAAACTAAACACAAACTCAACACAAACTCGACACAAAATTCAACACAAACTAAACGCAAACTCAACAGAAACTATACACAAACTCAACACAAACTCGACACAAATTCAACACAAACTAAACACAAACTCGACACAAATTCAACACAAACTCAACAGAAACTCAACACAAACTCAACACAAACGCGACACAAACTAATCACAAACTAAACACAAACTAAACACAAAACAAACTAAAAACAAACTCAACACAAACTCAACACAAACTCGACACAAACTAAACACAAACTCAACACAAACTCGACACAAATTCAACACAAACTAAACACAAACTCAACACAAACTAAACACAAACACGACACAAATTCAACACAAACTCAACAGAAACTCAACACAAACTCGACACAAATTCAACACAAACTAAACGCAAACTCAACAGAAACTATACACAAACTCAACACAAACTAAACACAAACTCGACACAAATCCAACACAAACTCAACAGAAACTCAACACAAACTAAACACAAACTTAACACAAACTAAACACAAATTCAACACAAACTAAACACAAACAAAACACAAACTCAACACAAACTAAATATAAACTCGACACAAACTAAACACAAACTCAACACAAACTCAACACAAACTCGACACAAACTAAACACAAACTCGACACAAACTAAACACAAACTCGACACAAACTCAACACAAACTAAACACAAACTAAACACAAACTAAACACAAACTCAACACAAACTCGACACAAACTCGACACAAACTAAACACAAACTAAACACAAACTCGACACAAACTCAACACAAACTCAACACAAACTCGATACAAATTAATCACAAACTAAACACAAACTCAACACAAACTCAACACAAACTCGACACAAACTAAACACAAACTCAACACAAATTCAACACAAACTAAACACAAACTCAACACAAACTCGACACAAAATTCAACACAAACTAAACGCAAACTCAACAGAAACTATACACAAACTCAACACAAACTCGACACATATTCAACACAAACTCAACAGAAACTCAACACAAACTAAACACAAACTCAACACAAACTAAACACAAATTCAACACAAACTAAACACAAACTCAACACAAACTAAACACAAACACGACACAAATTCAACACAAACTCAACAGAAACTCAACACAAACTCGACACAAATTCAACAGAAACTCAACAGAAACTCAACACAAACTAAACACAAACTCAACAAAAACTAAACACAAATTCAACACAAACTAAACACAAACTCAACACAAACTCAACACAAACTCGACACAAAATTCAACACAAACTAAACGCAAACTCAACAGAAACTATACACAAACTCAACACAAACTCGACACAAATTCAACACAAACTCAACAGAAACTCAACACAAACTAAACACAAACTCAACACAAACTAAAGACAAATTCAACACAAACTTAACACAAACTAAACACAAACTCAACACAAACTAAATATAAACTCGACACAAACTAAACACAAAGTCAACACAAACTCAACACAAACTCGACACAAACTAAACACAAACTAAACACAAAGTAAACAAAAACTCGACACAAACTAAACACAAACTCGACACAAACTCAACACAAACTAAACACAAACTAAACACAAACTAAACACAAACTCAACACAAACTTGACACAAACTCGACACAAACTAAACACAAACTAAACACA